CTATCCCTCACAACTCCCTGACTGCTGACATTAGACGAAAAGAACTTATTGTGTGTGGTTTAGGTTGATCTCACATCCTTGACCGCCACGTACTCTCTTCAAGTGAAATGCTCATTTCTTGTGCTTACGTTGCGTCCATGTAATTTTATATAACAAAATATTGATAAACGAAAACGAAATTGGACATTGCGATATACTCAGCCAATTTGTCTTACTAAAACATGTCAGTGAACTGGATTGCGTATCTAACCGTTTTTTTCCTCGAAAGAACAGTAATGTGGTCAGGCGAGTATCAATAAACAGAACGTGCCGGACTTGAAAATTGATATTCTGTCCGATGCCGACAGTGGGAATCGATTTGCTAACACAACGGTTTCTGTAGAAAAACCAGATATTTCGTCGAGTGCTAAAAGTCACGTAAGCAGATCTGTGCGATTTGGTTCTTGAAGTGGAGTAATAACGCACACCGACACGCCGTCGTCTAACTAGGTTGAACCTCTTTTTTCGTTGGAAATATTCTTCTTGTTGTCACATTACTACTACCAGTAGTCTACCACCAGTAGTCTCTTTCAGTCTTAAAAATATAAATATTATTTTCGTGCTGCTTACATTCTGTATATATCTAATTCCTAAATGATTTGAGCATAGCATTAACAGTTTCAACAAAATATCAGCATTTATATGGTCTCTCCGCCATGCATTCATAAGGGTAGAACAGAGTTTCAATGTGAACAAACGCAGCGCAACGGGCTGTAAGATGAAGACAAAAAACCTTCTTACATATACGATAGAAACGTATTAGTATTTTAAAGGAACGCGAAGGTAACAGTCGAATGTGTCAAACGTTTTCTCAGCTTCACAGTGTGAAAATGTAAAGCACGCAAACAATTGTCAGCGGAATGCACTAGAAAAGCGCTCCATAAAGACGTGACTTATGAGGGAACGTTCTCTCGACCACAAACGTGAGCTTCACATTCATACTCAACGTGTTTATATGCCTAACCTCACAATTTTTATGTTGGACTGGGAATCGGAAGCGACCGGGAAACAGGGGTCTGTGTCTGGGCCGTCTCAATATTAATGGACTTTGTACGTAAAGTATGCATTTATATACACTTATATTTTTAAAGGCAAATAAGTTTTTTTGGGAAAAGGAGAACAGTTCATTGAGTAAATTTTCGTCGTCTGTTCCCCCTGTCGCCGTCAGACGTGAGCAAATGTGCTAAAACAATTAACTTTTCATGCGTGCTGAGAAATCAATATTCGTTTGATGCTTTAGCCAGTGAGCGACCGTCGTGTGCGTCAGTCTGTATTGATTGGTTTTTGTCTTTTCCACTTTCCCTGACATTTTTGTACGTGGCATCTAACTCGACTTGCCTACTGATGCACGATTCATCGGAATGGATGGCTTCAAGAAACTCTCGGCCTTTTGTTAATGGGCAAACTAGGACAATGCGAGTTTTCTCCCATGGGAAAGTGTGCACAGTATCCAGAGTGTGCATGGCCGTTTGAGATAATGTTCGCGTATACGTGCAGAGGCACATTTTCCCGTTCGCAAATTTACTCGAGTTTGACTACGACAATTAACGTAAAAAAATCACTCAATACGTTTTTCTCCTTTTTCCAAAGAGCGTAATTGCCTTATATGTTATGACAGATGGGCGCTCACCGATCAGGTTACAGAACATGCTCGTTCTGTTGTGCCTTGGGGCTCATACTTAAACCCTCGCAGGCAGCCGCATAGCGAATAGTGATATATATTGATATCGTTTGACGACGGGTCGGTGTCACCGACTTGAAAATTTACGAGTACAACCCGATTTTCCGAGAAGCCTTCCCTTTCTCATTTACATATATTTGACATCAAATACGG